GGCCTGGGCATAGAAGGAGGTGGGCTTGTGACCTGGCAGAGGCAAACTGTAACAAATGGTCTGGTGGGAAGGAAAGAAAACATTTTAGTTTAATAACCTCTATTGAAATAGAGTTTTTCTCCTTAAAATTATCCCTCTGTTCATTAAAATACTAATTTATATACTGTATTCAATTTGGCCTGATTGTTTGCATAAACACAACAAGAATGGTAACCGACTACCTTTGCTGGAATTTCATGATTGAATCTTAATTTGCCCCATAAGGCCAGGAAGCCAAGCCATCTAGCTGTCATCAGGCCTGCCTGCAGTATCTGCTGAGTTAGGTGAATTCCTCACCTGCAGTGACTCTGCCCAGGCCCATTGTCCTTGCTTCAAGGCCCATCTCAGTAGCCCACCTACTCGTCGCGGCCCAGAGTGCATGGGGGTTCCATGCTCCCCTTCTACTCTGACCAACCGCAAGTGATGGTAGGGCATGGGCCTGATGCTCTAGCACCAGCTATCTTTAGGGCTACTAAACAAGATACCAGGCTTTCTCCATGGCACTCTTATTGGCTTCAAGTCTTCAGAGCTCAGACAGGGCTCTTTAAAACATGATACTCCAGTCAAAGTTTCCAGTCAATAAAACCACTATTGGAAACCGGTCTTATTGAATTTATGCAAAGAAATGTATTGCCATGATTTATTTAGCATTGCCTAATTTCGGAGGAATTACATAAGGAGAAAAAGCCACTGACCTACCTTAAGATCTTCTGATTTTCCTTGCCAGTCCTTTTTATGGACTCTCTAGAGTTATAACAAAACAGTAACTGTTGGATTTCTTTTATTAGTCCCCCTAAGTACTTTGGCATAACTATTTACCCTCTGTTTAGGGAGGCAGAATGTAAATTATTTACTCTCTCTGGCTTACTGGCCTGTACCATTTGATTAATTTCCTTTCAACATTTCTCTTCTCCTTCTTATCACATACACAACTTTTCTAAATTTCATACTTTCAAATTAGCCTTTAAACCTTCTTTCTATGTCCTTTAAAAATGAATAACCATGCCTCAGACCTTCTACTCAGTAATTCCTTATTCCTAGAAACCTCAATCCTTTAATGATTACCATAAAGTAAATAGCCAGTATTTTTTAGATTACTAAGAGCAGGTGCTTCCTTCCCTATGTAATTTTAAGTATTGGAGGGGTTAAAGAAAACAAAACAGGGCAGAGAGAAACTTGTGCTTAGTAGCAGCTTATGGCCTTGAGTCCAGCAGATAAGTAAAAATCAACAAAACTTCTGGTCTGCTTTCCCTGCCAATGGCCCCCCTCTTTTCTACATTAACCATTTCCTTAGCTGCTCTCCCTCCTAGATTTTCCTTCTTTACTCTATGCCCCAGAAGCTCAAATCCTTCTCCTCCTTTACTACTTTTGATCTCTCTGACTAGCCCCCTGTCCCCCAGCCTAAGGCTCCTTCATCTCAGCAGGCTGAGAGTCTACTACCCTATCTAGTGAATCCTACCGCCACTACCCCATCTCACACCCGCTCCGGAGCAGTTTTCGGCTCTCTTCCTCCCCAAGTCAGAGCGGATGCTGTCCCTAACAGAGACCTACTGTAAATCTATCAGGAAGGGCAGGCAAGTCGCAGGTCTCGGGACCACATGATAAAAATCCAGCAGTCCCTCTCCCTCACCCTACACAGGCCATGAGAAAATGTACTTAACCCAACAAGCCTTTGTTTAAACTTCTCTGGGTTGTAACCTTATACCTTTAAATTAACCCTAGACTTCTAAAATTTTAGCCTAACACAGCAAAATTATACATCAGAGCAAAGCAATTAAAAGTTCTCTACTGTCTTCTCCTTAAAGCGGGGTTTGCCCTATCTTTAAACAAACAACAGAAAGAGATAACAAATACTCTCATGTGTACAGCCAGACAGCACAAAGTAGCTTTCACTTCACACAGACTAAAGAGAGATTAACCCCTGTGGGTTCTGGGAGAAAGAAGGATTCTGGTTCTTCCAATTGTACAGGTCACTGGTAGAAAAGGGGACATAGACCATGAAAGGTTGCCCGTCTGGACCCAAATCTAAAGGGCCTGCCTGCCGTAGTGGCAACATAGGAACTGCAGGACTGGCGGATGCCGCTGTGTCCTGCAGGTTCTCCCCCTCTCTTTCTCTCTCTCCATATGCTGTCCCTTGCCTAGTGTGAGGAGGGGAGAACGAAGCCGGGTCCTGGACTGGTGTTTTCGGAGGAAAGGAAACCGGCTGTGGAGGAGGCAGAGGTTCCGGGCCAGGGTCTTTAGCCACCTTCGGGCCCGCAGGTGGGGGAGCATACGGGGGAGGCCTGACCCTGGGGAGTGCCTCCTCACTTGGACCCTGGAGAACAGGGGGAGTTTTGTTCTTCTGGGCCGAAGCCAAGAGGACTGTCTGTCTCTGTCCCAATTTCTTTTTCTCATTCTGACAACTCTTTAACCACCTTGGTTTTTCAGTCAAAATATCGACCCACACTTGAATATAGGGAATTTGGTCAGGGTGACCCGGCCGGCCATAGACAATATGGTGAACCCGAAAAGCAGTGGTTAAATTCCAAGTCCCTACGTCCGGCCATCCCACCTGGAAAGTGGGCCACTCCCATTCACGGAATTTCTGCAAATCAAAAGCATTAACATCATAACCATAACCTGCAGCTCACTCCTTGAAATCCTGAAAATTTTTCAAAAAACATTGCAGCGGGGTGCACACAGAAGCAGACGATGACCCCTGACCCATTTTGACAACAAACACCAAACAACAGCTACCAGACAGACAAACACTAGACAGACAAACCCGGTGCAGCCTAGAGCCGCACAAACCAGGACCCCGGCCACCGTCGTGGCCGCGGGTCAGGACCAGGAGTACCGCTGCGTCCAGCCCTCCGTATAGGTCCTTCCATGGGACGTCCCAATTCCTGTTTAACGACCAGTCCTTACCTCTCTTGAGAGTCCAGGTGGCTCGGTTTCCGAAGTGAAAGCTTTTGGATGGACTGGAGGCCTCCTTGGTAGTTGTTCCCCACAGGGATGTGGGGTATCTCGCTGCGTGCCTGGTGACAAGTGGGGGAGAGCCTCCTGCCTTAAATAGGGGGTCCCTCTCACCCCTGCTGGGGGAGAGCCTCCTGCCCTAAATAAGAGGTCCCTCTTACCCCAGCTGGGTATCTCGCTGAGGCCTCCAAATGTTATGGGTTCACTCAGAATTTAAATTTAAGAGCCTTTATTAAGCTGGCCAGCTGACTATAGTTACAGCACCCTGCCGAAACAGAGGCTGAATTGCAGCCCAGACTACTACAGGAATTACATTTTATTATTAAATTCTGTGGAGGCCCAGAGAAAAATGTGTCTTTCAAATTCTGGGCCCCCCAATATGGAGGAAACTCTCTTTATTTATACTTTATCCAGTCCTTTGTCTCCCAAATTTGGAATGAGACTTCCGGGCCTTCTGGGAAAGAAGGCCTGCATGAGACCATATCTCAAGGCCTGGCCTGATGTCAATACCTTCCTATCTATGTGTTTTAGGAACAGACAGCACAGCATGACCCATCTGGCCAAAGCGCCAGATATGCAGCCCAGCACAGAAGCAGAGAAAGGGAATTCCAAGAACGGGCTTAGCACATGCAAAGGCTTAGAGTCAGGAGTTGCCTATGTGAACAGCCATTTTGAAATAGAGAATAGAGGTGTGGGGAGAAAGGTGGAGTGTGGGCAGCGTCTTCAGTGCCAGAATGGGGAGTGAACTGTTTTCCTGAAGAGAGGACACAGGTGTTAGTGAAGAGAGGTGAAGGTGAACATGGTGGGCAGTCAGGCTAACTGGCCATCTCAGAAGAGATTAAAGAAAATTGAGTTTATTTAAGGAAAAGGGGGTGGGGGTGGGATATCCAAAGGGAAGGGCTGCACAGCCAGGAGCCAAGGGGCTGATGGTGCACCGGAGGAGCTGCAGTTTCATCCTTATGTGCAGTCAGGGTTGGGAATCTCTTGTCGTCAGTGGGTTTGGGGGCTGAGCTGGTGGGTTTGGAATGGGGATGGAGTGCAGGTGCGCAATCAGGGGGCTTCAGGATAGTATCACTTCCTTATATGGTTTGATTCCTGGTGTCCAGCAAACATTTGTTCTCCTATGGCGGGAAGCTTACAAATGGTTGTAAGGATTACATTGCCCTATAGTCTTCACAAGAGGAAACGTGAAGGGGGAATGTTGACACTCTGGGGAACTTACCCAGGTAATAACACAGAAGTTCAAGGCAAGGCATCTGGTGGGGAGATTAGAATCCAATAGGTGCACACAGATACTGGAACTAATTGTTGGTGACAGCAGAAGGGAGGGAAGGTAGGAAAGTTCAGGGACAATGTGGTTAATTTGGATGTGAGGGATGAAGGAAAGCAGGGATTCCCAATGACACAGGGATGAGAGAAGTGGGTGGGAGGAGAAAAGCGGGGGCTGGGATGCAGCTCTTCCTGATGTCAGAGACTCTGTCCTCCTTGCATCTGTGCTCCCAGGTCCCATGTAAACTCTTGCAAAGTAGGACCCACCTGTCCACTGGCTGCACCCATCTAGAGTAGACAGGTTAGGGCAAGCGTTTCAAGTTTTAATGTGGGTGGGAATCACTTGGAGGTCCGGTTAAAATGCAGGTTGTGGCCACGCTGCTTGGCTCAGTGGTTGTGCATTGACCAGTGAATCAGGATATCACGGTTTAATTCCAGGTCAGGGAACACTGGATCCCCAGGTTAGGGGGCGTGCAGGAGGCGGCCAATCAATGATTCTCTGTCATCATTGATGTTTCTCTCTCCCTCTCCCTTCCTCTCTGAAATCAATATGAATATATTTTTAAAATGCAGGTTCTGATTCGGTAGGTTTGGTGTGTGGAGCGGTGGTGCTGACACTGCAGGTCTTTGCATACCAAGGGGTTACGGGATTTCTGTGCAGATAAGCCAGGCCTGAAGCCCATGGTTGTGAAAGAGGAAATGAAACAAATAATTTCTTTCTCATCCCCAGGGATTATCTTCATACCAGGGACAACCCAGATGAAGGCCAAGGACATTCTCTACCGACTAAAGGAGTCTAATGCCCAGAGCATCGTGACCACAGATGCCCTTGCCCCGGAGGTGGACTCTGTGGCTTCTGAGTGTCCCGCTCTGAAAACCAAGCTCCTGGTGTCTGACCACAGCCGTGAGGGGTGGCTGGACTTCCGGTCTCTGATTCAGTGAGTTTGGGTCTGATGGAGGTGCTCTCTGAGGAACAGTGGGAGAAGGCCCTCCGCACCCAAGCACTGTAGACAGACAGCTGGTGATAGGAAGCTCACCAGGTCTGGCTCCAGAAATCTCTTCCCACCTATGTCCCTGACCTGCTGTGTGACCCTGGGCTACTTCCTGCCCCTCTCTTAGCCAAGGTTGTTTCATCTGTAATATCAGGACATTGTACTTCTATGCTTCTCCCCCTAAAGTTTGATCACCCCTGGGATGTTAAAGGAGGTGTAACGTCAGAGGGTTACTGTGTTTCAAGCTTCTTGCAGGTGGGAACCTAAAAGATTATTCATATATAAATATAAATAAATGTATACGGATACGTTGGATAAGAGGTTAAAATGGATCTTTAAGGTGAAAGTTGAGACTGCAAGAAGAAATGAGGCTGTGACTGGCAGAGGGTTTTGGGGGCAAACATCTCCCAGGTGCTGGTGCCCTTAGAAAGTTAGGGAAATGCTGGATGTCAGAAAGACCCTCCATCTCCGATCCTTTAATTCTGTGAGCCTTCAGGCTTTTTTTACACTGTCGACCTGAGAAACTTCCGGACCTGTAGAAAATTTTTATGAGTTTATTTGAGCCAAACTGACAACACACTAGTATGCTCGGGAGCAAGATCTGAAATGCTCTGGAGGAAAACCGTTTTGTAGCTTCTTTCATGCATTTGAAATTCAGGAGGGGACCCAAAAATTACAGGAAGGTTGGGGAAAGCAAGGTGGGGATGGGATGACAGGATAGTTAAGATTAAGTGCTCTCTTGAGGGGTAACACTCCCTTCAAGGGATATCACTTTCCATATTTCAAGGGGGTGTTAACCTACCTGCACAAGAACAATGGACAGGCTTGCTTAAGGCAAAGATAAGCCTTTCACCAGAGAAGTTATGTGTCAGGGGCCTGACTCCCCGCCATGCCCTGCCCGGTCAGGAGTTTATGATCAGATCACCTGTGAGGTTAGTTCCACTGAGCCCCCTGTTCCACCCACAGCTCAAAACATGCTGGGTTTCTTTTCTTTGTCTCTTTTATTTTTCCGAGCTAACATTGGTTTATAACGTATAAGTTGTACTGGCTTTGCTTTCTTGAAGTAACCTTTCTATTTTTAAAGTAAAATGTTATTCAACCCCAAAAGGCAAATACTTCACTGATGTCACACCTGTGTTGGACTCTAGGGTCCAGAGTTGGGCTCTCCCTCCAGGGAGCACGCCCTCACCTTCCCCTGGCGCTACCTTTGCCTTTCTCTCTCCTCAACTCCAAGGGCCCTTCTTCTGCCCGGAACTTGTTTCCTGAGCCAATGCAGCCCAGCTGGCTCACTTCTACTACCTCTGTGGCTTTCTAGATAAACTTTCTTTTATAATTTGAATAAACAAATGAAGCCAGAGAGTTAATAAAAACCTAAATAAATAATACTGTTTAAAAATCCCTTAAGTTGCCCAGAGTCACGATGGTACCATATCTCAACAAGAGCCAGTGTTCCCTCCAGCATTTTGGATGATCTGCAGTTTATTTGAACAACAGAGGAAGCTTATTGGTCACGTCCAATCATAGCAGGCGCCTATCATCACAGGCCCAGGAGACTGAGTGTAGAAGCTCCCAGAAATCAAGGCCCACTGAGGGGCATGCAGTTTTCCTCTGCAGGCTCGAGGGTACACCAGATGGACACATATATTTCTTTCACTCTCCCTCTCCCTCACTCTCTCTTCACCACCCCTTATCACCAAGGTTATGGGGTGAAATTCCTGTAAAGTTAGTTTGTGTGAAAAGAAGCTTAGCAGTGTGGAGTATGAGGACAGTCTAGGCATCACACTGGGTTTGAACCCTGACTTTGCCAATTGCTGGCTGTGTGTCTTCAGGCAAAGTTACCTAACCTCTCTGAGCCCCAGTTTCCTCATCCACAAAGGGAGCATGACAAGTTGGGGATAGGCACCTCTTAGGATTGCTCTGAAAGATTGAATGAGCTCTTATTTGTAAGTCATTTAGAGCATTTTTGGAAGCAGAAAGTTCTATTTCAATGTTTGTTAAATTATAAAATAATTGGCTGTGTTTTCCCATTTTTTTTAAATGAAGAAATGTCAGTCTTCTTACCCAAGTCACCCATAAACTCTGATGCTTCAGACCTGGAGACCAGATCTTCCTCCAGTGTTGCAAAACCCCAGTTTCTGCACTGGCCAGGAACTCAGTTGGTTAGAGTGCCAAGGTTGTGGGTTTGGTCCTTGGTCAGGGCACATACAAGAATCCACCAATGAAAGCATAAATAAGTGGATCAGTAAATCCATGTTTCTCTCTCTCTGTCTGTCTCTTTCTCCCTCTCTCTATCTCCTTACCCTTCTCTAAAATCTATACAAGCAAACCAGGTTTCTGACTTTGAGCCTCATGTTGTGTCTTCTGCTGGCCCTGAGGGTGGAGCCAGGAGACTTGACTTCTCTCCTTTTCTGTTCAATCCCTTTGTAGATCAGCATCCCCAGATCACACCTGTATTAAGTCAAAGACCACGGACCCAATGGTCATCTTCTTTACCAGTGGCACCACCGGCTTCCCCAAGATGGCAAAACACAGCCATGGGCTTTCCTTGCGACACTCCTTTCCTTCAAGGTAGGAAAGAGGGCAGCAACTTAGAGGCTGGGTCACAGTCTGGAGCAAGGTGTGTGTGTGTGTGTGTGTGTGTGTGTGTGTGTGTGTGTGTGTGTTGGGAAAGGTGCTCTAAGTAGAACTGAGTCCATCCTGCTTCTCCCTTCTGCTCTCTTTGGTTCAGACCACTGAGGGTCTCCGAGGCGAAGGTCTGGACTTCTAAGTGTGTGTTGACAGAAGCCTCCCAATGACAAGGGGGTCCTGCCTGAGCACCTTCACAGGTGTGGAGGGAACGTGGGTGGAGGCAGCAGGCATTCTGCAAGCTGCACAAATGACAAGCCATGTGTCTTTGTCACTGGTTCCAGGTATGGTGGGAGGACAGAAAGTTCTAGCTATGTGAACTGTACAGATACAGAGGTGGAGTTTCCCAGTCATGAGCCATTAGGGGGAAGTAATACCTGGAACCAGGCCACTGCCTTCGACCTAAAATAAATAATTGTAGAGGCTGAAGACATAGCCTTGGGTTAACCATGTAATCAATTTTAAACCAAACATTGTTTCCCTCCTACTTCCTCCTCCCCAACTAGTAATATTCAGACCAGACAAAGTTCTGTGGGGAAGTATAGGCCTTGGTTGGCAAGTCTGTAAGGAGGATTCTTCAAAAGGTTGGGGTCATCTGGGGGGACCTTGTCAAAGATGGCAGCCCTTACCTTGACTTTTCCAAACAAGTCTGATCCCCTGGGTGTTTTGCTGGAATCTCTATGTTTAGTCTTTAAGACCCGACCTTGAAGAAGCAGGTGCTTTCTCAAGGATATTTACCCTGCTGATTGTATCTAGAGGTTAAATTTAGTTTAAGCTGTTGTTACAATAAAAGGCTAACAGGGCAGGCATTTGGGGCTCTTTTGGTTCCTAAAGCTAAACAAGCCCCTTAGCCTTCTCTTTCACAGACACGTGTGTCAAATTAATCTGTTCATCCGTCTCTCAGGGTCTTCCGGTCAGCCCCAGCAAAGTTCTATGTATTTTGTACCTTATTAAGCAGAGTAGGGGGCAGAGAAGATGTCTTGTGGACACTGGGTATTTATGCTAATGATACTACTTGATCAGCAAAACCCTGGAGGAATGGGAGTGGAAAGAAGGGGAGAGTTTTCTGAGTAGTCAGAATAACATAAGCAAAGGTGCAAAGATATAAAAGGTAGCATTCATTGCCCAGCCAGCGTGGCTCAGTGACTGAGCATCCACCTATAAACCAGGAATTCATGGCTCAACGCCAGGTCAGGGCACGTGACCAGGTTGCGGAATCCATCCTAGGTGTGGGGCATGCAGGAGGCAGTCAATCAATGATTCTCATCACCATTGATGTTTCTATCTCTCTTTCCCTGGCCCTTCCCCTCTGAAATCAATAAAAAAATATTTTTAAAAGTAGCATTCATAGAGATTTGAGAGGAGCTGCTGCTCAGGGTGTCAGGGAGGCACAGATGGGAGGAGCTGAGAAAGTGAGTGGGGCCAGAGCACAGACAGTCCTGGGGACTTTGGTGTAGAGATTGAGCTTATTGGGAAAACAGTGGGCGGTATTGAAAGGTTGTTAACAAGGGAGAGACCTAATCCAATTTGTATTTTGAAAAGATCACAGTCCTGCAGGGTGGAGAATGGCTTGGAAAAAGAATAGATTTAGAAAGACCTGTTAGAGGGTCTTAGAATAATTTAGGTGCAAGATGGTGGTGGCTTGGACAAAGTGCTGGGGACATGAAGGAAGTTAAGAAGTCTGAGATTTTAGGAGCCAGAATGGGAGGGTGTGCTGGCTAGATGTGGGAGGTAGGAGGGGCTGGAGAGGCAAGGTGGACTCCCAGGTTTGGAGCTTGGGCAGTAATGACAGTCACTGAAACACAGACAGCACTGGAGAAGAATGAGTCCCGGGAGGCAGGAGAGATTAGGATGCTCTGGGTGTGAGATGCCCCAGAGACGTCCCAGAAGAGATGCTCCGTGGGCAGTTGGGTCTGAAGCTCAGAACAGAGGTCCCAGCTTGTAATTTCCTGTGGGTGTGCCACAGCCCTCAGAGATGGGAACAGGGAGTGTGAATGGCTCTCCAGGCCCCTCCCTAGTAATAGAAGAGCTCTTCAAAGCCATAGCTCCTCATGGGAGAGTTGAGTTTTTCTCAAGGAGTTACGCACACAGAGGTCCCTCAGAAACAGTAAGAATAGGGTGTCAAAATGCTTCAGACCTAGCTGAGTAGCCCCTGGATTCAATTTTCTGTCTCTCCATCTATCAGCTGTTTCTATTGTGTGTGTGTTTTTTTTTTAAAAAAAATAAATCTTTATTGTTCAAAGTATGACATATCTTCCCCTTTTCCCCATTCCCTTCTTCAAGCCCACCCCACCTACTGTTTGTTTCTTATTTACTAGTTAATCCTCACAAGAGGATATTTGTTTTTCATTGATTTTTAGAGAGTGTGGGAGGGGGAGAGACAGAGAAAGAGAGAAACATTGATGTAAGAGAGACACATCAATTGGCTGCCTCCCACACGCACCCCAACCAGGGCTTCCTGCAACTGAGGTACATGCCCATGATCAGAATCAAACCCAAGACCCTTCAGTCCATGGGCCAACGTTCTAAACACTGAGTCAAACCAGGTAGGGCTGTTTCTGTTATGTTTTGATGCTGTTCTCAGAAAGGCCCCTCCCTTATTATCCCCGATGGCTGCCAGCATTGCCCAAACCTACCAATAACAGATGTGAATCCAGAAAAAGAGCCACAGACTTAATCCCAGTATTCCCAGCCTTAAGGATCATTATGATTGAACCAGTTGAAGTGGCATGTGACCAGGAAATCTGATTGGGGTGCCTTTGGGACTGGGGTGGGAGTGAGTCTGGAGCCCCACACAAACCACATGACTTGAGAGTGAGACGGGTGGCTCGCTGTCTGAGAACCAGATTCCCGAGCCCTGGGTCACATCCTCCTGTGGTTACAAAGCTGAGGCCACTGTATTTTGGAGTCAGCAGGGAAGTACTGCAGCTGAAGGCCTCTGATGTCCTGTGGTGCCTGTCAGATCCAGGCTGGATATTGGCTGCTGTGGAGACCATGTTTGAACCATGGACAGCAGGGTCTACAGTCTTCATCCACCATCTGCCCCAGTTTGACACTAAGGTCATTGTAGAGGTAAGAGGACTAATCTCTGAGTGTGAACAAACTCCCAGAGAAACTCATGCTTCAGGCTCAAAAGCTGGCCCCTGCTGAGAAGAGTGTATGTAACAAAGAAGCCCATTAGGGTGATAGAACCTGGGCTCTGGGGGTCTCAAATGTGAGGCTCTGAATCAGTCAGTGAGTCTCCCAGAATACACATTTTGAGAAATTAAAGCAACCAGGACAATCTCAGGTCTCCTGGCTCCTCCAGGGCTGGGTAGCTGGTGTGTGCGTGTGAATTTATTGAAGTGTTTAAAACCAGAGCCCTTGGAATAGGATGGTTCTAGCTCCTTTTCACACCTTTAACATTTGTTAGTGGTAACCTTACCTCTCTGAGCTCAGTCTCCTCACCTGTAAGATGGGAGTTTTAATAATCACTACCTCATAAAATTGTTGGGAATATTGAGATGATACAGGCAAAGTGTGTAAAGTGCTAGCACTGAGGCCTGCACCTGAAAACACTCAGGAACTGGTAGCAGTTGCTGTTAATGTATGAGCACATCATGGTGACGATTGGAGTTGCCTCCATAAACCCTTTCAAATGACTTCCCTGCACCTGAACATGCTGTTTGTGTCTCCACTCACTGCACCCTTGCTTTCCTTCCACAGACCTGCTTCTCCACAGCTCAAGTCCAAGCCCCTTCCCTCACCACTGGGGGGCCTGTTCTTCTCCAGGCCCTTCCATTGGAGCCCCTCACTGCTCATCTTTAATCCATTATACCCTTTCTTCTATATTATCAGTCTCTCACTTCTCATCAACTCTAGTCCCTCAGTCCATAAACACATGCATGTTCAATATATAGATACTGGAAGAATTAACAAATGAATAAATGGGCTCTCTTAGAAGGGAGAGCAGAAAAAAATGGTAATAATTGGCCAGTATTTTGTTGTTGTTGTTGTTTTTGGCCTGTATTTTTCATCTTAACTATAAATATTAATTTTTTCTCTGTTCACCTTGTAGACACTCTTTAAATACCCCATCACCCAGTACATTGCTGCGTCCTCCGTATTTCGAATGATTCTGCAGGAGAATTTTGGCAGGTATGTAGAGGTGGCTTGTTATAATCACAATCTTTGGGTAGGATTTTAAGGATTCTATTTCACTGTGGTCTTGTTGTTGTTGGGGGACAGGCTCTTCTATGGGGTTGGGAGGAAAGAATCCCAAGGATCCACGGACAGGAGATTGAGATGTGGCGATGTGGTTTATTTGTTAGGTAACATCAATAGAGTTCTCCTCCCGGCTTCCCAATGCCCCATCTCTCTGGGCCCTGCCCTGGAAAAAGTCCAGTGTCCTCTTCAACAGCCAACGCAAAGGCCAATGCCCGGAGTTTCTGCTTCATGATCCTTTGGGCCTGGAAGTCTCCCCCGGCCCAGGTGGCCTCCAGACCTGCATGGTCCTTTGCTCCTGGGCGGGAGGGGACAGGAACAAATTGGGCCAGTGGGGCCCCTGGCAAGAGAGAGAGCCAGCATTACCCACCTGGGTCTCAACCAGGAGCTTTTTCCAAAACAACCCACTAACTTCCCAGATTCCAGGGGCATGCACTGGG